TATATATATATATTTAGTATTGCACACAAATCAATGGAAGTTGCATAAATAATTAGTTCCCTAATTCTCTCACCCTTGATTGAGGGTAGAATATATTACAGACCTCATATTCTTCTTATAGACAGATGTAACTGGCAGTTGGTATGGTGAGAATGATTCCTGTTGGCTGGGTTATTGGGTGACTGGCTTGTTCTATTGGAGAAAGTCATGCTAAATTAGATTTAATCTATCTAAACAAGAAAGGTCAGTATCGTACTCTAACACCTCAACTACTTTTATTATATTCATTTTACCACTAACTCTTGTTAGGTTGTGTGTTACAGTAACTAATTTGTTTTATTGTTTCATTTATTCTTTTCATTTTTTCAAAGGATTAGGGATGATAAGAAGAGTTTTTAAGTGAGGGCAAACCTTGCATAATTGTCTCAGAAAAGTATACTACCCTTTCCAGATGCCACTGAATTGATATGACTCATGGTGGCCCCATATGTGTCAATGTAAAACTGTGTTCTATAAGGTTTTCAATGGCTGATTTTTCAGAAGTGGGTCACCAGGCCTCTGGGTGGACTAGAACCTCCAACCTTTCAGTTAGCAGTAGAGCATGTTAACCTGTTTGTGTCATCCAGGACTCTCACGAGTCAGTGGAAAGAAAGAAGTTGCATAAATAATTAATTCCCTAATTCTCTCACAATTAATTGATTGATTATTTTTGTTGTTGTTGTTATGTGCTGTGGAGTCAGACCCGACCTATAGCGACCCCTCCTTGGGTTTCCGAGGCAGTATCACTACGGAAGTAATTGATTGATTAGAATGGCACAAGTAAGTAACACAAAATCTAATTGATGTTTAACCAGTACTGTGACTTTATTCTTCCTTTTTTAAAATAATAGTTTATTTTGTTTTTGGTGAAAACTTAGGAAATTAGGTCACCATCTGACTATTTCTAAACAAGTTGTTCAGTGCCATTTGTTATATTTTTCACAATGTGTTGACATTCTCATTAATTGCATTTTTCTGCTTCCAGTACTCTAGTTCCCTGCCCTCTTCATCCTTTCATCTTTTCTTAGTGTGGTGACTTTCTGACAGAGGAGTTCTTCAAGACATGTGGAAATCAAACATACTATTTTATAAGCCATTGAGGGAATGCAACCGTGCAAAATCCTTTGGAGATAACTCCATTGGTTCCTTAAGACAGTTCATATTCATTTTTACAGGTTTTTTTCTTTTTTTTCCTTCCTGGGATTTTGTTGATGCTAGGAAAGGTATTAACTGACTGCATTTTCTATTATCCTAGAAAAGGTTCACCACTAGTATTCATTTAATATTAGAGCCAATATTCCAATATTCCCTTATTGATAGATTATTTCTAGACAATTTTAGAAAATGTTCATTGGAGTTTATTTGGCCCCACCAAGTAGCTGTCTTGGCCTTGCTATCTCTTATCCTCACGGATCTTACTAGTCATTTCTAGTTTTTTTCATTTGTTTTTTTCAAATTTTGGGCCAAATTTTCTGCATCTAAGATGTAATCATTGACATTCTTTATGGATTTATCTTTATGTTCTATAAGGGGTACTTGCATACAGACTTTTGTCAGAAAGGTATATTTAACAAAATAATATGCTAAAGCATTTTCCCTGCCTTATTCTGTGGTGCCTTTTATGTTGAGAGGTTTTACCCTTATGACAAAATTTTCTTTGACTATAATAATTTATATATTTGGTGTCCATTTTTTTGTGAGATACATTAGAAGAACATTATTGTCTCCATATCCATAGTATTCAAAAGTTTTGAACTACTTTAAAAAGACATTGGCTATCACTGTGTATATTTAACAACTTATTTTTATTGGAAATTTCCAAGAGAGAGCCACAAATTCAGAGCTTGAACTCATTTGGTTTCCACTATGGGATCAAGTTTTATAAAGGAGTCTGTCTAGTAGTTATTGCATAACCAGCCTTAGTCTCTTTTCAGTTTCTAAGATGGGTTTTCAAAAACAAAACTAATTCAGGATTTGGCATGGGAGTGTTCCAAACATTGATTCTGGACATAGACATTTCTTTTAAAACAGGAGCAAAATCAAGAGATTTCCCTTGAGTTGAATATTATGAGAAAGAGAAATAATATGTCATAATTAATCTACTGACTGGCAGAAAAATGTTTTTGTTGTTAGGTGCTATTGGGTCACTTCTGACTCATAGCAATCCTGTGTACAACAGAGCAAAACACTGTCCAGTACTGCGCCATCTCACAATCATTACCCTTGAGCCCATTGTTGCAGCAGCTGTGTCAGCCTGTCTTGTTGAGGGTCTTCCCCTTTTTGCTGACAGCCTACGTTATCAAGTAGGATGTCTTTCTCTAGGGGTTGATCCTTCTGACAACATGACCAAAGTATGAGAGAGGGAGTCTGGCCGTTCTTGCTTCTGAAGAGCATTCCAGCTATGCTTCTTCCAAGTCAGATTTGTTCATTTTTCTAGCAGTCCATGGTATATTGAAGTTTCTTTGCCAACACTACAGTTCAAATCCATCCATTCTTCTGTACCAAAACCAAACCAAGCTCACTGCTGTCAAGTCAGACCTGACTCATAGCAACCCCTCCTTGGGTTTCTGAGGAAGTATCTCTATGGAAGTAGATTGCCCTATCTTCCTTCCAAGGAGTGGCTGGTACTTTTGAACCACCAGCCTTCGGGTTAGCAACTAAATGCCTTAGGCACTACACCACCGGAGCTCCTGATTCTTCTGTGGTCTTGCTTATTCATTGTCTAGCTCTCACAAACATATGAGGTGATTGAAAATACCATGGCTTGGATCAGGCACACCTTAGTCTTCAAACTGACTTCTTTGTTCTTAAACAATTTAAAGAGGTCTTTTGCAACAGAATTGCCCAATATGTCATTTGCTTTCTTGACTGCTGCTTCTATGGGCATTGATTGTGCACCAGAGTAAAATGAAATCCTTGACAACTTAGAACGTCTATCCTTTTATCATTATACTACTTATTGGTCTAGTTGGGAGGACTTTTTTTTTTGAAGAAAAATATTGAGTGTTTTTAGATAGCAGAACAGTGTATGCTGTATGTAGTAATGCCAGATTTAGTAGTGATTCTATTATAAGATCTGAACATCCTTAGGTGCTGTCTGGAGAAACAGCACACTCATAGATGTGAAGACATATGATTATTCCCTCTCCGTTGTTTCCATAATCCACTACATACAGTATTTTTAAGTAAGTGCCTCTTCCACCCAGTTCCATCACAGACACAATGATTGAGAAGTTGGTTGAATCATCAGTCCTCCTTTCAATATAAATTTTGCTCGTTTATTTCCAGATGTAATTGTTATAAAATTAAGAGTTGGTTAATCCAAAAGGAGTTTGGGTTGGACTAGACTCTCAGCCAATGCATATAAAAGTTTGCCATGACACAGAGTAATTTACTATACCAGGAAAGCCCTGTTTCCTGTTCTGGGGCAGCAGCAGCACATAACCCAGTAATTCTTTCCTCATCCTGTAGGGCTCACCTGACAGTGCAAAGCTCTGAAATTGAAGAATAAGTTCTTTTCCTTCAAGAAGAACTCCAACATGTTGCTCTCTAACCTGCTGAAAGTGGTCATGGCTTTAACATGCCTAGGTAGGGATGACACCAATGGGAATTGGTCTCCACTATGATTGGGGACACACTCTATGTCTTATGGGGATTTGGGGAAGGAGGGTAACAGGTTATAAAAATGGAATTCTTTGTCCTACACCATTTATCCCTTAAACTTTCTGATCCTATCTTTATTCCTACAGGATTCAATATGGCCCAGGAGGTAACTCAAGCCCAACTAGCAATGATGGTACAAGAAGAGGAGGCTGTGACTCTGCCCTGCACATATGATACCAATGAGAAAAGTTTTAGTCTATTCTGGTACAAGCAGCCCAGCAGTGGGGAGATGATTTTCCTTATTCGTCAGGATTCTTACAATGAACAAAATGCAACAGAAGGCCGCTACTCCTTGAACTTGCAAAAAACAGCTAAATCCATCAAGCTTGCCATCTCAGCTTCACAGCTGGAAGACTCAGCAGTGTATTTCTGTGTGCTGAGAGAAGGCACAGTAAGAGGAGAGTTGTAGGGAGGTGTACAAAAACGTAGAGCTCTGCTTAAGATATCCACCTGCTGTAGGGACCAAAGGAGGAATCACTATCTCAGACAGGAAGTGGTTAGGGCTGTGGCAGCACAGCTGTAGGAGTACAGGGAAATATTCATCCTAAGAAAACACCTCTCTAGGTTCATAGATCATGTCCAGAATTATAATTCATCAAAAATATTCTTATCCCTGAATCTTTAGGTTGAAGTTAAGCATATAAAATTTCTATAGAAGATTCAAGAGAAAAAATGGCCACAATAAACAATTTATTTGGTGATTCAATTGAGCTAGAAGAAATGGCTAAAGAAATTCAGAAAAATATGGATGAAAAAATCATTAAACAAGTGTGAATTGTTGGATTTTCATATCACTTTGTTTAATACATATTTATTGAGTATATTTTAAAAGACTCACTGCTCATTTGTCCATTTGTCATACTGTGGTAGCTTGTGTGTGGCTGTGAGACCAGAAACTATGCCACTGGTATTTCAAATACCACCAGGCTCACCTATGGTGGACATGTTTCACCACAGCTTCCAGACTAAGACAGACTAGGAAGAAGGACAGGACCATCCACTTCTGGAAAAACGGGCCACTGAAAATCTTATGGATAGGAGGGAAACACTGTCTGATACATTACTGGAAAACTTTATGAATAGCAATGAAACATTATTTGATACACTGTTGGAAGATGAGCCCCTTAGGTTGGAAGGCACTCAAAATACTTTGGGGAAAACTCATTCCTCAAAGTAAAAGCCAACCTTAATTACATGGATATAGTAAAGCTTTCTGGACCTTTATATGCTGACAGAGCATGGCTCAAAATGAGAATAGACAGCTGCAAACATTCATTAATAACTAGAACATGGACTGTATGAAGTATGAATCTAGGAAAATCAGAAGTGGCCAAAATGAAGTAGAACACATGAAAATCGATGTCCTAGGCATTAGTAAACTGAAATGGACTGATATTAGCCATTCTGAATCAGACAATTATATGGTCTATTATGCTTGGAATGGCAAATTGAAAAGGAATGGTGTCACATTCATCATCTAAAGGAACTTTTCAAATCTATTCTGAAGTACGGTGCAGTCAGTGATAGGAAAATATCCAAAGCCTACAGGGAAGACCAGTTAACACTACTATTATTCAAATTTATGCACCAATCACTAAAGCTAAAGATGAAAATATTGAAGATTTTTACCAACTTCTGCAGTCTGAAATTGATCAAACATGCAATCAAGATGTACTGATAATTACTGGTGACTGGAATGCAAATGTTCAAAACAAAGAAGAAGCAATTGGTAGCTGGAAAATATGGCCTTGGTGATAGGAATGACACTGAAAATCACATGATAAGAGTTTTGCAAAACCAACAATTTACTCATTGCAAACACCTTTTTTCAACAACATAAATGGTGACTATACACATGGACCTTGCCAGATGGAGACTATGCAAATGGACCTTGCCAGATGGAATACACAGGAATCAAATCAAATACATGAGTGAAAAGAGGTGATGGAGAAGCTCAATATCTTCAGTCGAAAGAAGGTCACAAGCTGAGCATGAGACCATCATATGCAAGTTCAAATTAAAGATAAAGAAAATTAAAACAAGTCCACGAGAGCCAAAATACAACCTTGATTATATCACACCTGAATTTAGAGATCATCTGAAGAATAGATTTGACCATTTGAACACCAATGATCAAAGATCAGATGAATTGTGGGATGACATCAAGAACATCATACATAAAGAAAGCAAAGGGTCATTGAAAAGACAGGCAAGGAAGAAAAGATCAAAATGAATGTCTGAAGAAACTCTGAAACTTGCTGTTGATCAGAATAGTTAGAGCAAATGAAAGAAATAAAATAAAAAAGTGGCACAGAAGATTTCAAAGGGTGGTTTGAGAAGACAAAGTACAGTATTATAATGAAATGTGCAAAGACCTCGAAATAGAAAATTGAAAGGGAAGAACACGCTCAGCATTTCTCAAGCTGAAAGACTGAAGAAAAAATTCACGCCTTGAGTTGCAATATTGAACAATTCAATTGAAAAAAATATTGAACAATGCAAGAAGAACCTGCAGGAAGTACCAAGAAGAACTGGTGACATTCAATCACTTCAAAAAAAAAAAAAAAAACCTCAAACTCTGCTATGGAGTCGATTTGACTCATAGCAACCCCTCCCTGGGGATCCAAGGCAGTATCTCTATGGAAGTAGATTGCCCAATCTTCCGTCCGAGGAGTGACTGGTGGGTTTGAACCACCAGCCTTCTGGTTATCAGTCAAATGCCTTATGATCAAGAACCAATGGTATTGAAGAAAGAAGTCCAAGCTGCATTGAAGGAATTAGTGAAAAACAAGGCCCCAGTAATTGATGGGATACTGATCAAAATGTTTCAACAAACAGATACAGCACAGTTGCTTACTCATTTACACCAAGAAATTTGGAAGACAGCTTCTTGGCCAACCGACTGGAAAAGATTCATATTTGTGTTCCTTCCAAAGAAAGGTGATCCACAGAATGCAGAAGTTATTGAACAATATCATTAAGATCACATACAACTAAAATTTTGCTGAAAATAATTTAAATATGGTTGCAGTAGTACATAGAAAGGCAACTGTCAGATTCAGAAGAGGACATTGAACAAGGGATATTACAGCTCATATAAGATGGAACTTGGCTGAAAGCAGAGGATACCGGAAAAATGTTTCCCTGTGTTTTCTTGGCTATATAAAGGTACTTAACTGTGTGGATCATAACAAATTATGGATAACATTGTGAAGAATGGGAATTACAGAACACTCAATTGTGCTCGGGAGGAATCTGTTCCTAGACCAAGAGGCAGTCATTAGAACAGAACAAAGGATACTGCATGGTTCAAAATCAGGAAAGTTGTGTATAAGGGTTGTATCCTTTCACCACACTTATTTGATCTGTATGCTGAGCAAATAATCCGAGAAGCTGGACTGTATTAACAAATGTGTGGTGTCAGGATTGGGGGAAGACTCATTAACAATCTGCAATATGCAGATGATACAACCTTGCTTGCTGAAAGTGAAGAGGACTTGAAGTACTTACTGATGAAGATCAAACACTCCAGCTTTCAGTAAGGATTACATCTCAACATAAAGAAGACAAAAATCCTTACTAAGGGACCAATAGACAACATCATGATAAACGGAGAAAAGATTGAAGTTGTCAAAGATTTCATTTCTCTTGGATGCACAATCAACACTCATGGAAGCAGCCATCAAGAAGTCAAACAATGTGTTGCATTTGTCAAATCTGCTGCGAAAGACCTCTCTGAAGCGTTAAAGACCAAAGATGTTACTTTATGGATTAAGCTGTCCAATCCTAGCCATGGTATTTTCCATTGCCTCATATGCATGAGGTAGCTGGACAATGAATAAAGAAGACTGAAGAAGTACTGATGCCTTCAAATTATGGTCTTTGTAAAGAATACCATTGACTGCCAGAAGAACAAAGAAATCTGTCTTGAAATAAGTAGTCAGAAAGTTCCATAGAAGTGAGAATAGCTAGACTTCGTCTCTTGTACTTTAATGATGTTATCAGGACAGACCCGTCCCTGGATAGGAATATCATGGTTGGTAAAGTAGAGGGTGAGTGAAAAAGAGGAAGACCCTGAATGAGGTGAATTGACAAAGTGACTGCAACAATGGGCTCAAGCACAGCAATGATTTTGGGTATGGGTCAGGACTGGGCAGTGGCTTATTCTGTTGTACCTCTGGTCTCTGTGAGTTGGAACTGACTCTATGGTGCCTAACAACAACAACAACAACATGAGGATAAGAGGGAAAATGATGAGTTGATTCAACAATATTTATATTGAATCTTGGATTCAATGTTATTGTCCATATAATTTGTCTTTTATTATAAACTGTTCCAAGTTTCTTCTGGAAAGTGCAGTAGAAGTAAGTATAGTTCAGATTTATCTAATATATAGACTCTTCAGACTTTGGGATACTCCTGGACAATTACTGTACTTCCTATCCTGAAACCTCTCCTAATCTTTCTTCCTAACTGTGACTGCTTATGTGTAGGCCAAACCATACTTTAAATACTGCTAGTTAAAGGCACTCTGGTGGCTTAGTGCCTAAGACATTCGACCACTAACCAGAACGTTGGTCGTTCAAACCTACCAGCCACTCCACAGAAGGAAGACTGGGGTATCTGCTTCTGTAAAGATTTACCACCTTGGAAACCCAAAGAGGGTCACTATGAGTCAGAATTGACTTGATGGTAGTGAGTTTAGTTTTTGGAGTTATATACAAAGGATCAAGCTATGATCCTGTATATGAGAAACATTTTACAGATTAATTTAGACAAATATGCTTTAGACTCTTTTATCACAAACAAGTTACAAGGAACATAAAGAATAATCACTGGTCACTAATAAAGTTCTAATACCCTGGCAGCTCACAAAAGCCTAGAAGTTTTTCAGCCTTGTACAGTGCATTACACAAAGCAGGAATGCTCAAGACACTACCTGGTGGTCAGGTCCTGAACTGCAGTTTGTGTTATCTGTTAGGCTTTCTTACCTCTTTTGGTCAATGACCCAAACTTGCAATTATTTAATTATTTTTTTAATCACAATTCCACTAGGATACATACAAAATCTGTTGCAAGTTTTATGCTGGACAATGATGGATCAGTAATTGTGGCTCAACTGTCTTTAGTTACTTCAAAGTCTCAAGAAGAAGAAGGAATTATACTACCTGTCTAACATCCCTCTCAAATTTGCTCTGAAAATAATCTGTAGTGGAAAAAACAGGAAGGACATGGTTTTCTATTATATCTGTGTTCAACACTTATTTATGCCATATATGGATTAAACACATGTAATCTTTGTTTCATTATTTATAAACCAAGGCAGTAAGCTCTGTCTTAATATTTTATGAGAATTTATCAAGAATACATCCAAAGAGATTGACAAGCAAGTAGTAAAAGCACTCTTTGACAAGTAAAAATAGTAATCTCAAGAGATGCATAAAAAGCATTTGACAAAACCTAGCATCCATTCCTGATTAAAAACTCTCAGAGAATTAGGAATTGAAGGGAACTTCCTTAACTTAATAAAGGGCATATACAAAAAATGTACATCAAATGCCATACTTGCTGGCGAAAGACTGAATGCTTTTTCTCTACAATTGGGAACAAGGGAAGGATGTTTGCTTCTACTGAATAATGTGCTGAAAGTTCAACTAGTCCAATAAGGAAAGAAACAAGAGGCATACAGTTTGGACAGGAAGCGAAGCTTTCATTATTTCTATGTATAAAATCTCAGAGAATGTACAAAAAAGCTACTATCACTAATAAGTGAAATTATTCAAGTTCCAGGGTGAAAAAGCAATATACAAAAATCAATTATTCCTGGATAAATCTCAAAATAAGCATGCTGAATGGAAGAATCTTGACAAAAATGAGTATGAGTACACACTTTATGATTTCTTTAATTTAAAATTATAAAATATGCAAACTAATCTACAATGATGGAAATCCAGTTGCCTGGAAATGGGGGTGAAGTTGGAAAAGAATTGAGAGAAGAATTACAAAGAGATATAAGGAAAATTTGGGGTAATGAATATATTCATGATCTTGATTGTGATGTTAGGTTCAGAGGTGTATTTATGTGTCAAGGCTCATCAGATTGTTCATTTTAAATACGTGCAGTTTATTTCATGTCAGTTGTTGTGGCCATTAAGAAGCCCAAATTCAACAAATATATTTCTTTAATCTTGCAGAAGTCTTCTGGTATTGCCTAACATACAAAACGTTCCTTTATGAGATTTTCATTGTATTTAAACTATTGTTTTTAAAAAAGTATAGATAACAATGCAAAAATATTCACAAATGAATTTTTGTAAACTGGCATCAGGATGACTGCATCAGAACCAGCTGTGAGCTTTTAAGAAAACACAGTTTTTTTTTTTTTTTTTTTGGTCTCAGTCTTGGAAATCATGATTCATGAAGTTAGTGGTGGAATCTCAAAATCTGTAATTTTATATCACTCACTCTTCGACTCAGTTTCTCAAACAGCCAGGTTTCAGAACCTCCTATTAGCTGATGTGTGAATATCAACTGATATACCTTCCTTAATCAGAGAAACTGAGGTAGAAGAAGATCCCAACTAATGCATCAATCTTTTGATGCAAAGCCAAAACTGCTGTAGGTAGTTCAGTTTTGTACCCTACAGGGAAAATGATTTTGTTGCAGTTTGGCAATAAAGTTTGGCATATGGGAAACAATACATAACATCCTTGATGCTAGATATTCATTAAAAGTGTATGAACAGTATTTGTTTCTCGATTCAAATAAGCTAGTCACCTCATCTTGGAGTCATTGAAATTGTAGAGGATAAAATACTGATTTCAGATTATTTTACAGGGATTCAATAATTTTAATTACCATGTTTCTTCTAGGATTCATATTTTTCATATTTTAAAGTTTCTGGAATGCAGGACTATTTGACAATTGCTAATACAGGGTGACCATTTCCCCTGAAAAGCTTTTGTTAAAAATATAATTTTCCTTATAATTGATATTATTTTGTAACTTAGGAAATATTGTATTTCAAGTAGTAGTGACTCCTCAAAGACCATTTATTCATTATGTTTTTTTAAATTTTAATAAGTGTTTATTGTTGTTGTTGTTAGGTGCTGTCAAGTCACATATGACTCATAGAAACTCTGCCACTCTGGGGAGCTCTGGTGGCATAGTGCCTAAGGCATTTGACTGCTAACCAGCCACCAGCCACTCGGAACAAAGATTGGGCAATCTACTTCCATAGTGATACTGCCTTGGAAACCCAAGGAGGGGTCACTATGAGTCAAATTGACTTGATGGCAGTGAGTTTGGTTTTTGGTTTCAGTGTCATTCTGACAGGAATATGCCACAAACGGGAAAGCTTGATTAAAGAGGCTTTTGTCTGAGTTCAAAGTGCCAGGCTCTGGGGGCTGGGTGAAATTCCCTCAACCTTGGGTTTCAGCTCTGCCTCCTGCTCCCGGCCCACTGAAGCTAGAGGCTTTTCTTCATTCAGACAGCTAGTAGCTGCTGAGGCTGACAAATCCAAGGTCGACAAGTAAAAAGGTATAGTTTTGATATAGCAAACAATTCTGCAGGTCATTAATTCAAGTCTAGAAAAAGTCCCAAGATTGGCAGGTCATGGCAGGCTGCTGAACAAGGACTTAGCTACATGCAAGGTTCAAGCATGACAAAAAGCTGGAGACCTTCCTCAGAGTTGCTTCTTATATACTGGAAGCAGGCCACATCCCTAAACCAGCTACTCAGCTGCTCGAGTAGATTCCACCATGGAGTTAATTACCAGTCTCGCCATGTGAAATAACTACAACCAGCTGCCCAGCCACTCAAAACCAGGCACAGCCAAGTTGACACATAACCTACCACAGAAACCCTATATACAACAGAATGAAACATTGCCATTTTCACAATCCTTGCTATCCTTGAGCCCATCATTGCAACCACTGTGTCAATCCATCTTGTTGAGGGTCTGCCCCTTCCTCACTGACCCTCTACTTTACCAAGCATGACATCCTTCTCCAGGGAATGGTCCCTTCTGACCATGTGACCAAAGCCAGTGAGACAAAGTCTGGCCATTCTCACTTCCAAGGAGCATTGTGGCTGCACTTCTTCCAGGACAGATTTGTCTGTTGTCTTGGAAGTCTGTGGTATTTTCAGTATTCTTTGCCAACACCATAACTCAAAGGCATCAACTCTTCTTCAGTCTTCCTTATTTATTGTCCAGCTTTCACATGCATATGAAGTGATTGAAAATACCACGGATTGGGTTAGGTGCACCTTAGTCTTCAAAGAGACATCTTTGCTCCTTAACACTTTAAAGAAGTCTTTTGCAGCAGATTTGCCCAGTGCAATATGACATCTGACTTCTTGACTGCTGCTTCCATGAGTGCTGATTGTGGATCTAAGTGATGTGAAATCCCCAACAACATCAATCTTTTCTCTATTTATCAAGATGTTGCTTATTGGTCTTGTTATGAGGAATTTTGTTTTCTTTATGTTGAGGTGTAATACATACTGAGGACAGTAGTCTTTGGTCTTCATCATTAAGTGCTTCAGGTCATCTTCATTCTCAGCAAACACGGTTATGTTGTCTGCATACTGCAGATTGTTAGTGAGTCTTCCTCCAATTCTGATCCCGTGTTCTTCTTCATACAGTCCAGTTTCTAAGATTATTTGCTCAGCATACAGATTGAGTAAGTATGGTGAAAGGATAGAGCCCTGGTACACACACTTCCTGATTTTGAACCATGGAGTATCTTCTTGTTCTGTTTGAACCACAGCCTCTTGGTCTTTGTACAGGTTCTTCACGAGCACAATGAAGTGTTCTGGAATTCCCATTCTTTGCAATGTTACCCATAATTTGTTATGATCCACACAGTTAAATGCCTTCGCATAGTCAATAAAGCACAGGTGGACAGACATCTTTTTGGCACTCTTTGCTTTTAGCCAAGATTCATCTGACATCAGCAATGGTATCTCTCATTCCATGTCTTCTTCAGAATGCAGCTGGAATTTCTGGAAGTTCCCTGTTAGTACACTGTTGTAACCATTTTGGAACTACCTTCGGCAAACATTTTTAAAGCAGTATCTATTAAACATCTGTTTTACATGTTGGGGTACAGTGCTGCAAAACAAAGAATTACTGAATAATGACATGGCTTCTTATTAATTCTTCTGATTTCAGCCTCAGCTCCTTTTTTGACATTTAAAATGGATTATAAGGTGGCCCACAATGGATATATGAGAATATAGCAGCTTATATTAAATGCTCAAAAATGTGATGTTTTCTTAGTTACGGAAATACCTGGGATGTTCTACTAAAGAACTTTCATATCAGGGATTGTGCTAGGAACAAAATAGACCTTAGAGGTTTTGAAAACTGTCCTTTAGATTTAGAAGGCCCACCTCAAGACTGACATGTGCTTTATAAATGAGGCCAGGGATGAGAAGTTTCTGACTTTTGAGAGGAGTCCAGGAAATCATTCAACCCAGCCCAGCCTTTTGGCCATAAGGGGGTGCAGTTTCCCACCACAAACACACTTCCTGTGTAATTCTAACATTTCACTGTGACTTCAACATTTCTTCATGTTAAGAATGAAGAGCATTATTTAGGTGACATTTTAAAGATGAACTCTTCTCTAGGGTTAGTGACTGTGATACTGTTGATGTTTGGTAAGTAAACGGACTCTTAAAATTTGCATTCTTTCTTCTATTATGTCAATAAGACTTTAACCATAATTTTACCCAAGAGCATTATGCCCAAGGTAACACAAATGTTTTTCCCCCAGGAGGAACCAGTGGAGACTCAGTGACCCAGACAGAAAGCCAAGTAACCGTCACAGAAGCAGCCATCCTGACTATAAACTGCACTTATTCCGCCGCAGGATATCCGGCTCTTTTCTGGTATGTTCAATATCCCGGTGAAGAGCTACGGGTTCTCCTGAAAGCCACTACAGCCAACAAGAAAGAAAAAAACAAAGGTTTTGAAGCTACACACAATAAAGAAGCATCTTCCTTCCACTTGGAGAAAGCCTCAGTCCAAGTGTCAGACTCGGCTGTGTACTACTGTGCTGTGAGTGACACGGTGACAGGAACTGCAGAGGGAGCTGAGCACAAACTCTGAGCAGCAAGGCTGCTGAGTGTCTGACCCTGTGATCCACTGCATTGGAGCAGAGTCTGTTATTTGGTCCTCGGAGACTCTGGTTGTTGCCAAGGTCAAATAAAAAACAAAAGAGCAAGACGTGACTATTCCCCAGACCCAACTCTTTTTTAGTAAAATTGAAAATAGAATTTGACACCAGTAGTTCCTCAAGGTCAGAATAATTTGCATGTAAAACCACAGGAACAATGAGGTGGTCTCTGTGCTTATCCTTGCTGAAAAAATCCAGCTCCCTAAACTGTTCTATCACTTTTTCTCATGGAGGGAAGAGAATTGTGGGAGTGAGAGAAGGTATGGGGATAAGGGTGGTGAGTGTTGTGAAAAGAGTAACAATTATCTCTAGATCGCACTGTAAACATACTGATGGCCTTTGCAAGTATTGGGGAAATCTTATGTGATTAATATCAGCTTATCCACACATCAAGAGTACTTTCGTTGCTTGGAGAAAATGTTTTGAGGATGGGAATGAGGAAAATATGTGTTTTCTGATCTGCAGTGTCTGTAACAGTTGGAGTAACTGAAAATGGTATTGGCTGTGAAGAGTCCCTTTCTTCTATAATATTTTTCTTTTCCCCATACTTCTTTCTCCCTGGAAATTTTCTTATTCATTTTTTTCTCAGAGAATCTGGCTCTCTAGATTTTATAAATTATCTGAGATTGTAATACTAATGCATTTTCTTTTTTTTTCAGTGCAGTATTCTTGGGTCCGACTCGATGGCACATTACAACAACAACAACAAATTCTTGGCTTAAATTTAATTAATTTTATTACATTTTGTTTAAAATATAAAGTTTAAACCTCTTTATAAATATAAACCCATGTTAAAATATGCTTTAAACAATACAGAATTGCAGATAATGATAAAATTGGTCTGAAAAATTTGGTTAAATGTGGTAGGACTATGCATATGTGTTTATCTCTGCATCCTCCATGAAACTCAACTAAAAATATACTAAAGATATTAAAAAGATCATAAACCTATAAGCATAAAGAGAACGGAAAAGGAGATGACAGCAGACAAGGGATGTCAACAAAATTTTAGAGGGTAAGAAGTATGTGGAGAAATGAAAATTTGCATAACAGATTAGGTAAAGAAGACAGGTGGGCCTTGTGGAAAAGCCAACATGAAGCATCCCAATGTGTGCCTTTGTGAAAATGTTGAAAACCAAGAAGCATCAATTACCTTTGAATAATTGGGGGAAAAGGTGATGGTGTGTGTGTATGTGTGTGTGCACACCTGTGTGTTTTAGATGGGGGCGGGGAATGAAAGTAAGAGGACTGAGTGAGAGAATTTATAGATCACAAACCATCCAGGCTGCATAACATCATGTGTAACTGTAGCAAGCAATGATCATTTTCCAAACCAAGCAGATAATTTGAAGTTAGCCTTTGATGAATTAAAGAATAACGCATAAAAACACAAGAAAGCCAAATAAAAATAAAATAGACTAGCATAATGAGCTAATTATTAACTCCAGGGAAAATAAAAATTATTTTTCCAGAGAAGTAATGCAGTCATTCAACCTAACTGCCTCCTGGGTAAGCTTCACTAATTTATGGCACTGATAGCAGTAAACTGGGCAGAATACTATTTCTCCAAAGCCTTATGTATCCCAAGTTTTTTAATTTTTGCTTGTCAGCTGGACTTCCTTTTACTTTTAATAATTTATTTAGTTATGAATGATATGGAGCTTTACTTCATATATTTAAACATCATTTGCGTTTTTCTATAAATTATGCATTCATATATTTGTCTATTTCTTACTGTTATTGTCTTAATGTATATTTTAAAGACTGTTTTCTATATGAAGAAAACTTGTCATATAAATGTTATATATGTCTTAGTTTATCATTCATCTTCTGAGTTTGTTAATGTTCATTTTTTTGCTTAGCAGAATTTGAAAACATGTATGTAGTCAAATTTATTAAAGTTTTCTCTTATAGATTCTGGGTTTCATGTTCTGCTTAAAAATCCATAGCACTACAAAATGACAAAAATTTGTTGCATATTGCCTTTAATTTCTTTCAGATTCATATAAAAATGTAAATTTTTAATCTTGATTATGTGTTTGAGTGTAAGAAGTGACATCAAAGTTATTTATTTTCCTTAATTTTTGTTTATTTGGGGGCAGCTATCCAGACTTAACTTCTATTCTTGAATAACTTATTTTTTGTAACTGATGTAAAATGTCATCTTTGTCTATTTATTACCTTTAATGTTTTCCACATAGACTTTTTTTTTCATTCGAAATTTATGCTTTAATATTAGTGGTGCTTCTTGATGATTACGTAGTCAGTTTACTGGATGCAAGAAGAAGATATATTCAGCTAGCCCTGAGTCTATGCTAGAAATAAATACATAGAAAATTATGTAAAGGGAAGGGATACTGTTAGGAGAAAGAAGAGAAAGGTCAACCTCTCTACTTCATGGGAGTTTGTAGATGTAAAGTGCCTGCCTATGATCATAAATCTGTCAGTAGTTTTGAATTGAGGAGGCCCAGACTCAGCAGCAGACAACCATCCTCACAAATGGTCTACACAAGAATGGGACATAGACAGTCAACTTGGAGAACAGGGCAATTTTAGACCTTCTGGGTAACCTACTTCCGTAGAAATATTGCCTTGGAAACCCAAGGAGGGGTGGCTATGAGTCGGATTCAACGCGACAGCAGTGAGTCTTGAGTGTTCCTCCTGAAGAGGAGAAGTTAGATAATCAAGACTTGGGCTTAGAGTTCTGAAGAGTTTCAATAACTTGAAATGTCTTGAAACCTGCTGCTGCCACAGTGTTTGGGATCCTGTCATTGTTCTGAAGACAAATTTAAAAATTTTTCTTTTACAACATGGATTTCTTGATGAGGTTGGGAAATAACCATTGCAGTAACTGTCATTGGTTCTTTGAGGGCGTTGGTAAAAGTAAATTGACTATACTTCAGACACGTTGCTGTTGTGAGGTGCCATCGAGCTGGCTCTGACTCACAGCGACCTGTGTACCACAGACTAAACATTGTTCTGTCCTGTACCGTCCTCCAGTCGCCGCTACGCTGGAGCCTATTGCGTCAATCATCTCCTGGAGGGCCTTCCTCTTGTTCACTGACCGTCTCCTTTACCAAGCAGGATATCCCTCTCCAGGGACACAGTGACCCTACTCAAGTGGAATGAATGTGGAAGAACCTGTCAAACCGAGATTCTCTCTCGCTTTCTCTCTTTTTCCCGTTTCTCTCAACTTGGCTGGAGTGATTTTCTGTCTTAGCTCTTCATTGAAATAAGAGTCTCTCAGGGATCAACCATTTCTCTGGGCTAAAGTGTCATCACCAGCATGTAAAATCATTTTATTGTGAAATATAACAGATGTCCTTAAAAGTATGTAAAATCTGTCAACAATGAATCTATATTATTTAGGTGCATAGGGATTTAGGATTGTGAAATCTTTGGATATAAAAGCTCTTTGTTTTAAAAATCTCTTTTTCCCTCTAGCAATTCTTTTTTCTTAAAAGTCTATTCCATCTTATATGAGTATAATATATCAGCTTTCTTTTAATTACTATTTGTATGGTATATATTCTTTCATTCTTTTGTTTTTGGCCTCTGTGCGTTATATCTAAACATTCAATAAGTCCTCACACATTTACACTCTCAGCTGCTCTTTTGTTTCCTGTTTCACTGAGAAAATAGAAGCAACAGAACTATTCTTTCTTCTTTTTTACATTTTTTGTTGTGACTTGGGTGCAATTTTGCCAAGCAGATTCATTTTATGCTCAACAATTCGTACACATTTTCTTTCATGACACTGATTATAATCCCCACAATGGAACAACTCTCCTCCCACCTCCTTCCTGTGGTCACCACTTCCCAGTGTCCTTCTTACCTATGCATTCCTGTCAGTCTAGCTTCTCCCCTGTGCAAATGCTGCCCTTTCAATCTCTCGTAGTTGGTTGACTCTTCTAAGGACTACACCTCCCTGGTGTAGTTGTGCAGCTCATAGACCAGTGTAATGTTTGGCTGAGAACTAACCCAGGGGAGTGAGAGAAATTTCAAGTCCAAAGGGAAACCTGGGGCCATAGTGTCAAGGGTTACATCAGTCTTTATCTGACCTGTAATTCTTGTCTTTTTTATGTTTTTTAATTCTGTTCCACATTTTTTTTCTCCTACTCTATCTACTATCTCCAATTTTGATCCCTCTTCCAGGGTTTGGCATTGGTAGCTGGGCACCATCTAGTTCTTCTGGTCTCATGGTAATGTAGTCCAACCCCTTGGACTAATTGTTTCCAGATATCTTTGGTTTTCTTAATTTTTCTTTGCTCTGGATGAGGAGAGACCTACTGTTGCATGTAGATGGTTTCTGGCAAGCTTTTAAGACCCACCAAACAGGATGAAGGACAATGTTTTTGTATACTATATTGTTCCCCTTGACCATAGTCCCAAGACTTCAGGCCCAGAGACTCATTCCCTCAAGACTCGCTGCCTCACTCCCTCACTTGGCTGTGGCTAAGAAGTTAACTTTGTCCCTATCAGCTCTATAACGTATATGGACATTTTTACAGCACATGCAAATATGCATGTAGGAACACCATCTGCCAGACCTAGGTATTCTCACGGGTATATTCCTATTGGCCTAAATACAACTGATCTTCTTGCCTGTGTATCTATGTACCCACCTGTAGACTATTGTTTGTTATTACTTATGATGCAGTATTGTGTATGTAGTAGTATTTACCTTTGTTGTCTGTACCTCTTGGACACCTCCTTGTGTCCTCCTTTTCTTTACTGTTATTGTGCTGGTCACATACTTTTATTGTATAGCCTTTCCCTTCACCCAAATCAACTCATGTCTCCTAATCAGTCAGCAATTTCCCAGCCCCTCTCCTCCTTCCCAGCCCTGGTAACTAACAAAGAAAATTCCTTCTCTGGGTAAACCTTTCTTTGGCCTTTTTTAAAAAACTTTTATTGTGGTGAAAACATACAC